GGCCAACCTTGATAGCACATTGCTTTTGCTAATCCGAAATACAGTGGGATTGACAGAGTAGACGAATTCCGATTCGGCCTCCGTTAACGTCCAGATAAACCTCGTATTATCGCGTACCAACACATATCCCGTCTGTTTTACTAGGTCTCCATCACCATCAACCTCACCAACTGCTTTAAAACCGAGTTCGTGGCCCCCAATGTCTCTAAAAACATCGTATTTATTGTCTGTATGATGGACTTTCTGACCAGAAGACGAATATAGCCCAAGCGATCCAGATGTTGAGAATTTCCAAGTGGTTGGAGGTTGCTCGTTTGGCTCTAGGAGACGGGTTTCGCCTGAAGCTAATTCACCTGTGCGGCAGATCAGGATTGAATCCGTTGTACTGTCAGCAAAAAAAGGGTATAAAACAAACTATAGGTTGGCTAGCCCACTTGTCATTATGAAAAAAACTTTAGCAAAATCAAATAGTAGTTTTATAATTCATCAACACTCTAAAAAGCATCATGGAGTAATTTTCCCAGAGATTAACAGACCTCTCCGTCATTTCAGAGCATAATGTTCCACTACCATACTTTGGTTTAACTGGAAAATGATGCCTTAGGAAGATAACTAGACAAAGATTTAAGCCATAACGTTTTTTGAGAAGGCTTGCAAGATTCCCAGTAGGTCTTGAATAAGAATTGTGCTCATCCTATTTTGTTTTTAGATTATGAAGTAATGGAAGTTGAATTTTACCACAGTGCTATGATTAGGTCTTACGTCTACATTAAAGTTCACATAGTTTGGGTTCACAAAAGGTATTCTCATTTAGGCCAGGTTGCGGTTTCGACACGGCCTAGGTCTCAACGAAATAGAATGAACACAGCTATTATTCAAGATATACTGATAGTCTCAAAAGCCTACTTAAAAAACGAAAATAAGTGATAGCAAATACAACTTTGTTTTATTGACAATCCAATGAAAAAAGGGATAAGAAAAGTCTGGGCTTCTTCAAAATTCACTCATGCCCTGTGACCTGAGGACACTTGTGGAAAATTTGTACTACCACAACCCGGGTTCGAGTTCTGTTGGGTGGCAAGGTCTTAACTCCAGTCCACTTCTGCCTTTTGGAAGCAAGGCTATGCGAGATTCAGTAGAAACGTAAGGTCTACTCATATAATTGCTGGAAAATTCAACTACCAGTACTTCATCATCTTAAACGAAATCTGGCGAGCACAGTTTTTACGCATTTATTATCATTCCAATTGGCATTGATGCAGACTTCATGTCAATAAGCCTAGTTTACATATTTTAAGGGTTTTTGAGCCCTCAGCAGAATTAGGGATAAGAAATTGAAGGGAGTAATATCATGCATTTGTTAAACCTTCGGTCCTTGGGAACTCGGATTTTGTGCAAGTCGTGAGATGGCTACTGATTATGTAACAGAAGCATCAGTGCCATGATGTCCCCTTTAATTATCCCAATTATGAATTCACGCTGCTTTGAGGGACTCCTATTAATTATAACCATGTCTAGAATTAGCCCCACACAGGCTCTAGATAAGTTCAAAAAATGGGATAAGTTATAGAAATCTTGCTCAACAGGGTAGGGAGTTCATGGCGGGCTAGAGGAAACGGTTTTTCAAGGAAAATATGAGTTTGAGGGCAAATTCATCTACTAAAAGATTTATTATGATATAGTCTTTTGATTGTATTGTTATTTATTTGGAAATCTCTTAGCATGGAAACCAAATTGAGATCCAGGCAGGTTTGGCTTTTCATCAGAATTATCAATGCATGCAGTTTATGCATGTCAAGGCATTACATTTTTGGATCTTTATCATTATGTAATACCGTCAGGCTTTGCTCATGTTCTTTCGCGTATGGCTATTAGTAGCCATAGTTAGACTCAAACAGCCCCTTTGTAAGTTAATTTATTCACTTTCGGCTCATTGAGATCTCTGCCCGAAAGACTTATTTCTAATAACGGGTTTCACTTCAAAAAGTGAGACTCACTGGCTGAACCACTTATTTATGA